ACACCCTCCACCAACACCTCCACCATCTCTACCCTCCCTCACCCTCCACCAATACCCCCACTAGCACTACCATCAGCAGGACGCCCTCTTGGCACAACCTCCTCAACACTGATAACACCCTCCCCCCTTTCCTCCTTACCCCCTCCCTCCCCTCCCTTCCCCTCCCCTCCCCTCCCCTCCCCTCCCCTCTCCCCCTCCTGTGAGACATTAAAAGCCCCTCATAAAAGTAACTTACATGACGTCTTCAGGTATTAAACTATTCTGACTACAGTGAAACCTCCTTTTACCGGACTTCTCTCTCCAGTTAACGAATTATATGGAGGGTTTCTCATCTAACGGACCCTCGATATAACGGACTTTTAACTACTGTATATAGTTCATTAAATAGAGGTTTCACTGTGTACGAAATGACCAAGATAATTTTTTTTATTCCGTTTTTGTTTTTTTTATGACAGTGATTGAAAAATATTATGGTGTTATAGAAAAAATAGCTTGTTGTTATAATGTTGAAATCCCTCCATTTTTTTTCACGCTCGTTTGCCCCTCCACTGTGGTAAAGCCATCGCTCCCACCCCGTAAGAGTGCACGCAGTCGGGGTGGGAGTTTGACCAGCTGGAGCAGTAGCAGAAGAAGTAGCAGTAGTAGCAGCAACAAGAGCGATAGCGGGAACAAGCTGGTGGTGATGGTGGAGAGACAGTGAGGGTGGGAGAGACGGCAGTGTCTGGTGGAGGCTAAAACAGATCCCGTCAAACAGGTCATATTAATCATGTTCTTTTACTGTCTACGCATGTCAACATTACGAAGCTCAGTCAACGCATGTCACAATACGGAGCTTAAATTCACACTAAAAAACGAAATTTTTTTTAATTATATAAAGTTTTTCTCCTAAAATTGATACAAGTGACGTTATTTATTTATTTTTTATCTTTTTCGCTGAGTGTCATTTGTTTTGTTGTTGTTGTGTCGTTGAAGAATGGCGATGGCGTATCATTTTGTGTTGTTTATTATACTATTTTATCTATCTTTCTGAACACCCAGGTATTATTTGTTAATTTCCTTTCTCTCAAAACACACGTATGTATTTTGTTCTTTATATATATTCTCACAACAGGTATTCATTTACTGTTGTTAAATAAAATAATAATAATAATGATCTGTTAGGGTGGGGACTCCTTGACCAGATATCAGCCCGGGGAGGGAAAACCACATCAGATAAAATCCCATTTGACACAAACCCACAAACCCACTACATACATCGCCAGAACTGTATGTAAAGTAGACAAAAACCAATAGTAGAATAGTAGACAAAAAATAAGCCGTCAGAATAGTAAACATAATAGTAAAAAAAAAATTTAGTAAAAGCCCAAATAGTAAACATAATAATAAAAAAAAATTAGTAAACAAAGCCCAAATAGTAAACAATAGAGCAAACAAAAAACTAAGAATAAACAAAAACCCAAATAGTAAACAAAGAAACAAATAGTAAAAAGAAAACAACTGGCAAACAAAATAGTAAAAAATTGTGAAAAAAAAAATAAAAAAAATAGTACAAGTAAACAAAATACCTGCCAGCTCAAGTTTGTTTACACCTTAATACTTCCTGGGGTTAAAATAGTTGACCATAATCTCCTCAAGTTACCTTACCACCATCTGTTAAGTCCTTCCTGTATTAAAAAATTCAGTGAGAATTTTTTTCCTACGGAGTGGATGGTGAGGTGTAGTGTTGTGGCGTGTGGGTGTAGTATAGTGTAGGTTTTGTATGATGTGGGTGTAGTGTGGTGGAGTGTGCTATGTGTGTGTAGTTTACTGTGGGTGTAGTGTAGCGTAGGTGCAGTGCAGTATGTTAGTGGGTGTAGTGTGAGTTTATGTTGATAACGTGAACTGTGTACCGTTTTGTGTTGGCGTGATCTGTGTACCGTTTTGTGTTACTGACGTGAGCTGTGTTAAGTGTACCGTTTGGTGATGAACTGAACACGTTAAATGTACGCCGTGTCTTGAGACTACCGTGTCCCTTTCGTTAGGTGCACCGTGTACCGTCATGTGAGCTCTATTGCATATTGTACAGCATGATAAGCAAACAAGTAAACATGTTTTTGTTCTTTGTTTTCTGTTTGCAATAGTGTATGAGAGTTTGTTTGTACTAGTTCTTAAGTGTTTGTGTTTGCAATAGTTAATAGGAGTTTGTTTGCAATAGTCCATTACTGTTTGTGTTTGCAATATCCCATAAGTGTTTTGTTTATAATAGTTCTTAAGTGTTTGTTGTTGTTGCCTGAAAGTAATAAGATATTTGGTTGGTTTTTGTTATAGCAGTCGAGAATATTTTTTTGTTAAACGGTAATAAGTGAATACGTTTCTTTGTTTTGTTTTTGTTATAATAAAATGTTTTATTTAATTATAGTCCTGAAGAAAAAATTACCATAGTTATAAGAGAATGTAATTTAATTCCCAATATTTAATCATGACATTGTAGTGATATTTGTTGTTATTGTGGACAGTAAAAGTGTGTATGTGTCTGTCTGTCTGAGTGACTGTTATGTCTGTCTGTCTGAGCGTAAGAGTGTATGTAGATGCCTCGTGTGGATGCTTCTATGAGTGTGTGCGTGCGTGCGTGTGTATCTTCTATAATTATAATAATCACTGTATACATAGCCAACATTATCTTTAGGCATTTCCTATATTTAAACAACTTCAATGTTGCCAACTATGTAAAGGACTTGACCAACAACACACACACGCTCTTGAAAATCCTCACAAATTATACCAGAAAAAATTAAACCAGATAAGCTTCGTAAGATTCACTTTTAAAAATAACTCAAGTGTGTTTTTTTTTCTGGTAATATTGAAGTTAGTCTTGAGAAATTTACCCTCAAAGAAAACGCGAATTGTTTGTTTACATGTGAGAAGAGTTGAGGTGGAGGTGTATGGCGGTGAGATTTGTAAGGAAATTTAAGCTCAATATGTGTGGATGGAGAGACGAGACTAGGCTGCATGTCTCCTTAGATGTGAAGCGAGAGTTTTTGGGGGATTTACCTGAAGTTTTGTTATAATTGGAAAATGTTTCATATGCCCTCGGGGTTAAGGTAGAGTGTAGAGCTATTAGGAAGTGTGGGTAGCATGTCCCTCTCTGATGCTGTAGTTTGGTGGAGTGTGTGTATTGTGTACTTCACCTGGTCATTGTTCATCTTGTTTATGTCTCTTCCACACATCACTTTGTTTATGCCTCTTCCACATCACCTTGTTTATGCCTCTTCCACACACCACCTTGTTTATGCCTCTTCCACACCACCTTGTTTATGCCTCTTCCACACATCGCCTTGTTTATGCCTCTTCCACACCACCTTGTTTATGCCTCTTCCACACCACCTTGTTTATGCCTCTTCCACACATCGCCTTGTTCACATCTTCTAAAATGGATAATTACTTAATACTTACGACCCTAAATAAAAAAAAATTCCCAATACCTCAAGAATTTCGCTCATCTGAAGTATGTCAATAGTGTCTCGTATTTTTTTCTTTAAAGATTAGCCCCACATGAACCTTACTTAACTAAGCCACCGTAACGCTATTCTACACATGCTTAACCTAACCTAACCATCTTTAACACTAATCTAACCAAACCACCATCAAGCTAACCTAACCAAAACCCAGGCTAACAGAATATTTAATCAGGTGAAATAATCTCAGGGTGTTTAATCTTCAGTTCATCATAATATAATCTTACTTCTTGAGGTTTAAAAAAAAGAAAAAAATGTGCTAGTTTATTCATTGTGTAACTGGACGCGTGACTCATATCTTCTGTTGTGAGGAGAGAAAGGAAACACTACTTTTACTTAGATGTTTTTTTTAATTAAGACCCGATGACACGAATGCTGTCAAAGTCCCGGATGTGGAGGAGGTAGGGGGTGAGGGGGCGTCTCTCTCTTTTTGCAGGTGGTGGGTTTCTCTCTCTCTTTCTCTCTTTCTCTTTGGAGGTCTCTCACCTGCTCAGTCGGCCTCTTGTTGTACAGTGTAGAGTTGTAGAGTCATCAACATTAATCACTTCTCCTTTGTTTAGCTCAAGCAAGATGTGTTAGGTAGGGTGTTTAGGGGTGGAGGGAGTGGTGATAGTGGGTGTATATAAATAACATCATTATACTACACAATTCTCAATACATTATACAGTGACACATAAGCATTACTGCATAACCTCGTGGCTGTCAGGGGTCACTAAGCTTCTACTGTGGATCCTTCTACACGCCAGAAGTTAAATATAAAGCTATTGTTGTCATGAATAATTGTCTATATTAAGCTGTGCTGGGTGATGGTATGGCCCGGTGTGTGTGTGTGTGGGCGCTGCGTAGTAGACCAGAAGTATGTTGAAGTATGTTTTAGTTGGTGTGTTGGCTACGGTGATGTGTTGTGAAATATTTGTCGTGTGATGTGATGGCTGACGATGACTGGTGTAATGCTTGTGTGTGAATTTTCAGCCGAGTTAAGTTATTTATATACGCTAGAAGACTGCCACGTGTTATAAATTTCTTGTGTGTGTGGATTTTTTTGTTTTTCGTGATTTAAATATTCAAGGGATATTTATAGAGGCTAAATGTAGGAAAGTTAGTTGTAGTCAGTTTATTAGACAAGTTTGGCACGGTGCACTGGGCAGGAGTGATGAGGCAGGCGGCCGTGTCTGGATTGGTGCGTTTTCTCTGTTTAGTTCGCAAATTATCTTTCTACATCATCTTTAAATCAACTTTCAATATTCTCTAACTAGTATAAGTAATGGAAATATATGTGACATTTCTTTTAACTCAATGATGAATGTGTTTACAGTCACCCATTAAAATTCTATCACAGAAAAGTCCACATATTATTTTTGTACCCATAACTTAAGAAGTATTCCTTTCGTCATCTTAACATTATATTCAGCATTTTTCTAACTGCATATCATAGTCTCTGAATCGTTGTGTTTACCCTCCGGCAGAGAAAACGTGTTGTTTAATATTTCCCGTTTTCTTCTACAGGGAGTGACCCGTTCCTCGTCGACGTCATCCTCGCACTCTACGTCGGCCAATGAGGAGCCTCGACCATTGGAGGAGGCGGAACATTACAAAGATGATGATATGTAAGTTGAATTAATTATTATTATAACTTCTGTCATTTGTATTGTTGTTCTTATTATTAACTTATTCTTCAATGCATTTCATATTGATAACGTAAATTACAACTACTACTAAGATGCACCACCATAGTATATACCGCGTGGTCAGTACCTTTATTTTTGATACTGTACTGCGTAATGTCAATCCGGATTCTTTAGAAGCTATTGTGAACCTCTTATGTGCAATACCAAGATGTTCGTGATGTCATCCCGGATTCTTTAGGAATTAACCAGAATATGACGTCCCACGAATACCAACACTGTAAGTTTACCCAGAAAATTAACATATGTTAAGAATGACTTAGAATTTGACTCGGTGTTTCAAAGATTATTTATATTCTAGCATGATTCGGGTCCATCGAGGTACAGATTATATACGTAAATAGACTTGTGTTTAGACCGGGAAAGCTGTCCTTGAGGGGGGAAGTCAATTACCAAGTTTTCATTGTATTCTCATTAACACCCAGCTTGTCACCTCGCTTTTGTCAACCACACAACCCGGAACTCTTCGTCAGGAGAGGAACACCTGTTGGTGAGAGAGGAAGTGTTGATGATATCGTGGGAGAGGAACTACAGTATATTATTTCTCTCACCTTCTGCAGTAGAGGAACAGTGTCAAGGCTTCCTCTTCCCCTCCCCTCCAAGTGTTATTCTCACTACCACTCTTCTCGTCAAATATAAAATAGCCCGTATATTGTTTGTGTTGTAAAGTGAAATTGGTGTTGGTGGTGTGTTTTGGGTTGAGGTCAGTGATAACTAGCGCACCGAAGGCTCAGTATAAGTTAGTTGTGGTTGTTGGGTTCTGTTTTAGTTCTTATCCGGCACGTGTGAGGGTTCTGTTTGGTTCTACTCCGGCACGTGAGGAGTTCTGTTTAGGTTCTTATCCGGCACGTGGTGGGGGTTCTAAGTAACTATCCGGCAGAACAGGTTATATTGGTCCTCATTGGTTCTGGCTCACCTAGTGGTCGGTCCTGGTTTATGCTAGTACGGGGAGGTCTACAAAAGAACTCAATTTATTACCGAAAAAACCCGATCGAGCAGAGATTTGAGTTAACGAGATCTCCTTTTTTCATCACATCAAGGTACTGCTTTCTTGTGACACCTCGGCGGGAAGCAGGCAGGTAGATAGGTACGCTGGTAAGTAGATAGGCAAGTGGGTAGATAGACAGATAGGTAAGTATACAGGCAGGTAGGTAGGTAAAGGTTGGTTGATAGGCAGCCAGGTATGCAAGCAGGCAGGTAAGGGGGGGGGGACCCGAAGCGTGGCTGTGGGCGGGTGGTAATGCCAGCACTAGCGGTACGGAAGGGCGTCGCAAGTTTAGGCGTTGTTAATCAGAGACGAGGAAATAATGTCGACAGCTGATCTGGAGGAGGTGTGAGATGTCGCGGTGTGTTCATAACGCCTCCTGACGGTGGTGGAGGGGGGCGGAGGGCGTGATGCGTGACCCTGGGTGCCTGAGACAGTATTGTAAGGCTAGATCTGTATAATAGTAACTTGGTTGATTGGTTAAGTTTAGTTTTAAGTTAGGTTGGATAGTTTCAGTTTTAAGGTAGGTTTAGGTTGCGTAGGTTCAGTTTTAAGTTGGGCTAGCTTCAGTTTTAAGTTAGGTTTAGGTTGGGTAGCTTCAGTTGTAAGTTGGGTTTAGGTTTGAGTAACTTTAGTTTTAACTTAGGTTGGGTACCAGCTTCAGTTTTAAGTTAGGTTTAGGTTGGACTAGTTTCAGTTTTAACTTAGGTTGGGTACCAGCTTCAGTTTTAAGTTAGGTTTAGGTTAGAATAGTTTCAGTTTACTTTAGGTTTGGTTAGATTAGGTTTGGTTTAGTTTGGTTTGTTAGGTTACGTTAGATTAGGTTGATTTCTACGAGGACTAAGTTTTGTATACCGACTTCTAAACAGGGAGGAAGGATGAAGGTGGTGGTGGAGGGAGGTGAGACAGGCGGGCTATATTTAAGGTTGAGATGTGTGTGTGTGGAGGGGGCGGGGGTCGGAAACATGCACCGTTACCGGAAGGTGTCTCCAGGTGTGATGAAACGTGTTGTAAGATGATGGTCTGTATGGTGGTGGGTCAGAGTGGGTCTCCTGCTGTGTGGTGGTGGGTCAGAGTGGGTCTCCTGCTGTGTGGTGGTGGGTCAGAGTGGGTCTCCTGCTGTGTGGTGGTGGGTCAGAGTGGGTCTCCTGCTGTATGGTGGTGGGTCAGAGTGGGTCTCCTGCTGTGTGGTGGTGGGTCAGAGTGGGTCTCCTACTGTTTGGAAGGTCAGTAATGTCTGTATGTAACAGTGGTAGTGTATGGATAAGGAATTGTTGTATTTCGTAGTTTCTGTAATTGTATTTTGTTCCATTCCCTCCTTTATTGTATTAGTTACATCATTGTATACACACGAGGATGTACTCCCACAGTGTAGCCAGAACAGGTTTGTGTTTTTCTGGGTACATTGACGCACGCGACTGACTGATACCATCTTGCTCTAGAACACCCATATTTCCCCTCCCTTTCCTCCCCCTCCCCTTCCCCTTGCGCCCTCTCCCCCTTAAAAACATTTCCTTTGTCTCTTGCTATACAGAGGAACAGGGGTTATTTGTAGGCAGTTCATTCATTTTTTTTCCAGTGGGGGGGTATCTTAGTCATTTGTTCTCTCTCTCTCTCTCTCTTTTGATTGCACAAGTCTTTAGGTATTTTAGGTTCCTCATCCCTAGGAGAGTTCACTTGTGGTTGGGAAGGGGGTGAACTGTCGACTGTCAATGGGATAGTGGTAATTGTTGGTGATGGTGGTTAGAAGTGGTGGTGGTGGTGTTGGTGGTAATTGTTGGGGTGATTTTGGTGATAGGTGCCCGGGATCATGTTGATAGTGGTGTCGATATGGTTGGTGGTGGTGGTGGTAGTAGTGGTGATGGTGTGGTGGCTCGTTCCAAAGTGTAGGTCAGTATGGGTGCCGCCTTGTGCTCCGTTACCAGGTGTGGCCCAGCCCTTCTCCCCGCCCTCACCCACCTCTTCCTCCTGCCCTCACCCACACCTCCTCCGCCCTCCACACCTCCTCCCCGCCCTCACTCACACCTCCCCGCCCTCACTTCCCCTCCCCGCCCTCACCCACACCTCCTCCCTTGATAGAGTTAATAATGATAGTAATTAACGATTTATTGAAAACATTTCTTCCAAAGGACTGAATAAATAGAGATAATGAAAGTTACATAATTGGGGAATGGATCACTTGATTGACAAATAATATACAAGTAACATAAGTGGTACATATATGTGTGGGGGGGCAGGTGGTGGTGTGTGGGGGTAGGAGGTGAATTAAAGGTGTGTGGGGGCAGGATGAGGTGTGTGCGGGGGAGGGAGCAGAGGTAGTGGTTCAGGTGGGCGGGGAACAATTTCCGCAGGAGTCGTCAAGGTCTCCGGGAACCTGGTGGTGATAGGCAGGTCTCCTCAGGTCCAGGTGTTGGTCACTGCCTCGTTCCCCCATCCTCCTCTTCCCCTCCCCTCCCACCTCACCACTCCCTTCCACCAGCTGGGCTTAAGGGGGAAACGTATTATTTTATGTTGATCATATAATGTGACGTGTTAACCCGTCAGTGACTTACCTCTGGTTTATGTCCACCTGATTACCGACACGGTGAAGGGGGCGGGATGTGGTCTGGTATCTTCTGTAGCCTGAACCTTTCCACGAAATCTGCCTGGTCTTCTCTCGTCACCTACGCCCGCTGATAACATTGTTCTACAGCTGTAACGTTTGTCCGTTGGAAGAGTAAACTCGTGTATCATATCAGTGGAGATAAGTGGACGAGTATTGTTAAGGTCCGCATTGTATCGGTCACTAGTGTCAACAACAGCTTCCCTTGTGTGACGTCATTTAGGAGAGAGGAGGAGTAAGTTAAAGGTGGGGAGGAATGGTAGGAGAGGGGGGGAGGGCGGAGCTTGTCAACACGGAACACAAGACTCTTGGAGGTGTACTATCAATCCTTATTTAAAGTTCCTACACATCATTCCTTTCTTGGGGAGGGAGGTGGGGGTGTACATGTGGCCAGGGTATTGGAAAAGTGAAACGGTGTGTGACTCATATGGGAGGAGGAAGAGTGCGCCGGCAGGGAGGACGGGTGAGAGGTAACGGGGGTATTGTTGCGGGGGGTAGGGAGGGTTCCCAAGGAAACTGAACAGAGTGAGACGCTCAGTATCACCGCGGTGCTGGAAGTAGCATTATTGTGCCTGTTGGTGCGTGCTTGTATTGTGTTGTGTGTAGCGCGGTAACACTACATGTGGTCCTCCGTCAGTGTTACTCATCACCCGGTCTGTCTTAGTGTTGACGTAGTGAAGTGATCATAGTAAGAAAATTTCAGTGGCATTTTTTGTACACTACATGTTGTCCTGGACTCCCGGATGGTCCAGGGTTATGTTGTGGTAGTGAAGACCTTGTTGAGGGTATGATGGTGTAGTGCAGCAGTGAATAAGAAGGAAGTTGACGTAGTAACAGTACAGTAGATGTGAACACGTGCGGACATGTCGCTCACCACCTACTGCAGTGTGTACAGAGGGTACCAGCCCTCCTACCTCAGGTAAACTTTTACACAGTATCACATGACTCACCCACCTCTCGGGAAACTTCATTGTAAATTTTTTTCCATCATCTGTGACCTTAAGAATATTTACATATATATAAGAGTTTATGTATCTGTAAAGTGAAAGTATTGATCCCATGTGTCATTGGTGTCAGACAAGCATAGATCTGTCATGAAAGGCCAGGGGGCATGATTAACGAGAGTGTGGGAGGAAAGAGAGAGAGAGAGAGGAGAGAGAGAGAGAGAGAGAGAGAGAGAGAGAGGAACGGTAAACAACAAAACCAGTGACATATCCACAACGTACGGGAGCAAAGCAAACCATCCAGTCAGCTGACATTTTTGAATACCTCGACCTTTACCAACACACACACACACACTTCTTTTTTGTTGGATGAGTTTCTCGAGGGAATTGT